AATTTTTTTGGAATGCTTTTTTCAATTCCTGGAATGTAGACAGAGCCAGTAGGACCTTGGAAGCAGATTACCAGCTGATCAGGGGCGGACTGACAACTCATGGGGCCCCCGGGCAATAGGGGATCATGGTGTAAGGGTGTGACGCATGGATAAATACTGATGTCCAATGTTAAACTATAATGTGCCTGTAATATGCTCTTTGGTCAGTAGATGGCAGCAAAGTACGAGAATCAAGTTTGCAGAGAAGTTTGCTAAGACAGAACCAATACTTATTTACCTTATAAAGTTTAATGAATGCTAATTTAGGGGTTGAGTAGGACCCTCAGAAGGGTCATAGTGAACTGTAAATACAGGTTTGAGGCTGCAATTAGGAAATTACTTACTGCATCACAAACCCTCTGGGAAGGGGAGGAGTTCCTGTGCTGAGGAGGAAGTGAAGTCTGGGTCTGGCTGATGGATGCTGAGGACATCTGGAGAATCTGTGTGTGGGGCCTGGAAGAGGATTTACGGCTCACAGTGGAATCTGGCGACGGCACCTAGGGAAGATTCACCACAATGAGACCAGGAAACAAGTGACTGTATGGTCTGGTTCTGGAGTGGATCAGGAGAGAGCACCAAGAGCCTGCCAGGGAACTGTAAGTGCGGCTTTGCTGCAGCACAGCGCACCACACGTGGTCAGTGACATTTTGGATATACCAGAAAGTTACAAGAGACACACTCCACTTTCCTTTGGATTACAAATAGTATTGCGCAATACTTAGGGTGCACCCCGTTATATCTTGCTGAGGAACATTCAGGCGCAGCCAGGCTGCTTTCTGGACATTGGGGAAAAGTCTGCAAGTACGGGGTTAGTGTTAGACAGTATTATTCTTACTGTATGGTTATGTGCTGTTATCATTCTGTTTACGTATGCTCAACTACATGATCACTATAACTGTTCAGTAAACGTAATTGTTTTAAAAGAACCGCTGTCTGTGTGGCATCGTGTACCCTCTGAATCTGTGGGCCCAGCCCTCGGTCTTCCTTCAATGGGGCCCCTGTGTCCTTGCCCAAACTCAAAAAGCCTATGAAAAAGGTACCAGGGGCATCTCATGGAGCCTCCTACTGACCCCGGGCCCTCGGGCAGTGGCCAAGTTTCCAAATGGTCAGTCTGCCCCTGCAGCTGATCTCATTAGCAGTGCACACACATGCTGCACTGACCTCAGTATTTATTACAGGTGCTTATATAGCGCTGTCAATTTACAAACTGCTTTACATATATATTGTACATTCACATCAGTCCATAACCCTCAAGGGGTGCACAAAGGTCCCTTACATTCATACACATACTAGGGCCAATTTAGACAGGAGCCAATTAACCTACCAGCATGTCTTTGGAGTGTGGGTGGAAACCGAAGTACCTGGAGGAAACCCACGCAGGCACAGGGAGAACATGCAATCTCCAGGCAGGTGGTGCTGTGGCTGGGATTTGAACCAATGACCCTAGTACTGCCAGGCAGAAGTGCTAACCATGTAACCACTGTGCTGCCTGTTAGTACACACCCTTCACCCATCAACTAATTTTCACGGCATCCCCAGGATCTCTCCCCTTGTGCATTTGCATGGCTACCTCAGCGTCTCTACAGGCAGGCTCCGGCCAATTGATTGGATGGATGCTGTGTCCTCCTATTATATAGTTTTGGTAAATCTAAAGGAGATCATACAGAGATTGTACAATCAGATTGTAGAATGTATGGCCACCTTTATACACCTATAATTGCCTAGTTGCACGTTCAATGTAATTGTTAATGGCACACCAAACACAGAAACAAGCACATATTTTGCCACATGAGAAAACAGGCAAAATATGTGCTTGTTTCTGCAGTAAAACACGCAGTAAAAAATGTGCAACATGCATCACACCAAAATGTCCCATGAGCCTTTGCCATGTGTAGTGCAGCCCATTGAAATCAACAGGCTACCCTATGTAACTGGAAAAATGAGGCAAAAAACATGTGCTCCCTCTACTCTAGGTGTGAATGGGGCCTGAAAGTGAAATTGGTTTGTTTACACAAGAACAATGAGGCTCCATTCACATCTGTGTTTCCAAATGCATGGCAATCTGCACCAAAAATGCACGCTTTGCCATGTATTTCAGAAACGTGCTGCAAATGTGCATTGTTTGCGTTGGCATTACATGTTAAAGGCACCCCCAATGTGGCATACACACCAAAAACTGTAGTAACGCACCATGCTCCCTTCAAAAAAAAGTTCTGGGGCGATTGTTGCATGTATGGCAGATGGTTCAAGTGAATGGGCTTCCCTATGTGACAATTGAAAACACTCCAAAACACTCAAAACAAACGCATGTGGGAATGTGAGTCTTCACTATGTGGAGATGTGAGTGGGGCCTGAGTGTCTGTCCACTCCCTCCTGTGTACTTGTATAAAGATGGCCATACACTATGCCATCTGATTGTACAATCTCCCTACAATTTCCTTTAGATTTACCAGAACTATGGAATAGAAGGACATGCCTGAACAATCCATTCAATTTGTATCAAATCAGACAGATCCTTGTACTACATAGCTGATGGGAGAAAGGTAGCATTGTCATGAGGGAGGTGTAGTCCAGAGTAGTGAACACACCCTATCACATCGTCTTCTTTGATGCAACAGGGAAGTGAAGGCTTCTGGGAAGTGGCCTACTGGAAGTGAATGCTGAGAGACCATCAACAGGAAATGATGAAATCCATTCAAAATCTCACAGAAACGGACAAAAAAATAAATGAGGTAAGTGAGAGAAAAGCACATTGGGATGGCTGGGCCAGAAATGGCATTGGAAACAGCTTCTATTTAATATGAAAAGTGAAATTTTGCCTGAAAAAGTGAACTTATCCTTAAAGTAAGAAAGTAAAGGAAATCTACTTAATGGTGGCACAAAAAAATAAACGATTTTTGACAATTGTGCCCCTGTTGGAGAGATCTCACCACCCTGATGACAATGATTGGAACAAGGGAAACCTGTGAATAGGAAAACCATCCCTAGTAATAATAATGAATGGTGGGATTTTCCCTTCCATTGCAGTTGAGTTTATGTAATTCATGCAGAATACTTTATATTCCTTTTTAATTCTCTAGATGGAAAAGAATCTTCATTATATATGTAATGTATTTTATTTTCTCATGCTGTAGACATTGATTAAGAGTTGTTCTTGTGTTGCACTTTCACCTCCTGTGACACGGTACATAGTACATAAGATAAAAATGGCTATAAATAATGAAAGAGGCCCAAAGGACCATAATTAAGGACAGTGAGTCACATTCCTTGTTCCAGTAGACGGAATGCATTGTATAGATTGGTCCATCTCAATGGTTCGTGCTTCATTATTTTTCCCATTTATGGTATTTTATGCAGTACTCTAAAGGCCTGAAAACACAATGAAGATTATGTTTAATATAGAATTTCAGAATATCACCTCTGCATCCTCATGTACTGTAGTCAGATTGTTAGAGGTCTCTAGAGTTTGAAAATGAATTTAGTATTTATAAGAATTCTTGGCAATTCAATACAATGTTAGTATTCCTACCTGCAAATTGAAAGTAGTTGCAGTAATTATCTCTAATTGCCTGTAGAAACATTGCTGAATTTAAAACATTTACTGTACGATTATAAAGGGCGACGCAGAGAGAGAATGGATGGAGGGCCGGCATGACTAAAGGGAGGAACATGTCAGAGGTTAAAATTTGGGAAATTTAGTGTTGAAGGGGCGTAGTTCTTACCTGATTGGAGGCCTAAGGTCAGATGGGAAGTGCGGAGCCCCAAGGGTAGTTTGTGCAAGGGATAGTGGGTATTCATTTCAGAAAGTTTTGGCAAAAAGGAAACTTTCCTTACTCCCGCCTAAAATTGCAGGTGCCTGGTGTTCTTGGGGGTTGTAGGGTTCGATTTTGGTGGATAATTGTACCAAACCTACAGGAAATGAAATTAGGGAACGTTGTCACAGCAGCTTAGCAGTTCATGGGGTTTTTGGGGGTCAGTGTGTAACTATATTATTACAAACAAACTGATGGCCCATCTAGGTTATAGCACTTCCACCTAGTTAGTTATTAGTGGTTATTCCAGGATCTGGTCCCCTGGGGGAAAATGTAAGAATGTGTGAGGTTGCAACGTCTTCGAGCCGGTCGGGGTGCGGCTGAAGACATAGGCGGTTACAGTGATGTGCAACAGGAAGAAGGGTCAGCCGCACACCGTGGATTGATGAATATAGTGTATATTGATCCATAGGACACACAACACAGGACATGAATACAGGACCTGTTAACGCGTTTCACATGATCTCGTGTTTAATCATTACCATGTTTATAATTACGCAGGAGATCATATGAAACACGTTAACACCCCAGAGCCTACACCTGTTTTGGATTGATCTGGATTGTTTGTTTGTCTGAGCGGTATACCTCTGTTCTAGTGATAACGTGTGCCTTAAGGACATCCAAACACCCCTCTCCTGGTTGCATTGTTGTATTTGCATTGTTAAATTGTTCTAATTGATGTTATTTATTCGTTTGTTAAAAAAAGGTCTGCTGTGGCCATTTAAACCCACATCATGCTGTTTGCCTCTTTATTGTAAACGTTTAAGGAGCGAGGTTGATGAATCTTGTAGTCAAGAGGCTGAGTGTTGGTATATTTTCTAGATAAAGACAGACATTCGCTGGGCATAAAAACATGGCACAAATTCACGAACACTTAGCAAAGTTTGCTAAATGCAATAAGCAAAAAACTGGGATACTCATCTTACACTGAATTACTGGTACTTATAATAAAGGTGCTTAAAGGACTATTCCATATATAACTTTAAAAGGCCTTTTCCTTTCTGTAAAATATTATGAATAGAGATGAGCGAATTATTCAAAAATTCGATTCGGCTGATTCGCCGAATTTGCGGAATAAATTTGATTCGATGCGAATTTATTCGCTGCGAATTTAACTTATTAAAAGGGTTTCTAGGCTTCAGAGAGCCTTTTTATTAGAGCAGAACACTGTACCTTTAATTTAAATGCCCTTGGAGTCTGCTGGGGAAGAGAAATAATACTGTCAGTTAGTATGACATGCAGATGAGTGCCGTCGATCTTAGAATCACCGCACACTTCACTCATTTGGGCAGTCACGGGGCCAAAACCAGAGTGTGGAGCCACAGTGTGGCGGTGGAGGCAGCAGCAATGGGAGGCCATACAGCACCCTATGACAAAATGGAACCCACCAGCAGTGTGAGGAGACCTGAAAGTGGCACATGGCAGAGTGTGGCGATGGAGACAGCAGCAATGGGAGGCCGTACAGGGACCCATGACACACTCTGGACCTGGCAGCAGCATGAGGAGGCGGTACAGGGGCCCATGGCAGAGTGGCGAAGCGTAAGCAGCTTAAATTGAAGGCCATACAGAGGCCTATGTTAAAAAGTCCCCCCCAGCAGCAGTGTGGGGAGACGACTATCAAGAGTCCAATGGCAGAGTGGCGGAGCAGAAGCAGCTTCAATTGAAAAAGAGGATGAGGATGAAGAAGAAGAAGAAGAGGATGAGGATGAAGAAGAAGAAGAAGATGAGGATGAAGAAGAAGAGGCAGAGGAAGAAGTAGGATGAAAATAAGAAGAATTCCAGTACAGCAAAAAGTGTATCTGCAGAGAGCTCCGTTATTTCTGACAGTTCTCTGACAGTTCCTTCACATTTACAGCGGTTGAAACATTGTATCTATTTGTTTCCGAATAAAAACATCTGTATCCTAAATGGAAACAAATAGATACAATGTTTCAAACGCAGTAAATGTGAAGGAACTGTCAGAGAACTGTCAGAAATAGCGGAGCTCTCTGCAGGGACACTTTTTGCCGGCTGTAGAAGGGATGAAAATCGGCCGATCGGGGAAAATTCGATTCGTGCATCCGAAGTTTGCTAATTTTCGGATTCGGCGCGAATCAAATTTTTCCTGATATTCGAAACGAATTCCACTTCGCCAAGTTCGATTCGCTAATCTCTAATTATGAATAGTATGTAAAAATATTTTTAAAATTATAAAGTAAAAATATATTAATAAAAATAAAAGATTTATATAGCACCAACAGTTTACACAGTACTTTACAACATGAGAGCATGAGACAGTACAGTTACAATACAATTCAATGCAGGAGGAATCAGAGGGCCCTGCTATTTAGAGTTTATAATCTAAGTGGGAGGATCAAAAGATGCAAAAGGTAATACTGTGGGGGATGAGCTCATGGAGAAAAAAGTACAATTGTTAGGTAATTAAATATTACATAAATGAAATAATTAAATATTAAACAAATTATTATTATTATTACATATGCAATTATTATTATTTGCAGTAATTAAAAATAAAACTATACATATAAATAACAAAAACATATAATAAACAATATATTTTTCTTTTAAAGGCCTGTTCCTGTCTATAACTTATTACCGGGGTCATTAAAATATATGAAAAGGCAGACAAAAGTGTAGCACTGTAAAGCCTTCTCACAACAGAAGGTATTCATGTCTCCTATCACGTATCCCCTCAGAAAAATGTATTCCTCATTTCAGGATATTGGGCAGAGCCATACAAATCATTCCTTTGTACCATCAGCCAGATGCACATTCAAAACCGCTGGCGTATAATACAAATAAAGCCTAATACTATATAGTCATTTATTCTAAACTGCATACGGTTTCAGACTTTTTGCCCTTCAGTGCAGTGTATGAAAACCTAGACTTCTATGGATCAGGACTTGGGAAACAATCAGACTGCATAACCATGATGGTGCGAAGGAATAAAAAACCCTCCAACAGACTCAGTGCACAGCACAGTAAAACCTTCTTAAAACAGAAGATATTCGGATGTCTTATTCCATAACATATCTGGAAAATAATCGGGGGGGTGTATCTGTTCATTACCTTGTAGGAGGGAGGGGGGATCATCTGTCATTGCCTGGTGGGGGGAAGGGTCATCTGTCATTTCCAGGTGGGGGGGGGGGGCATGGGTCATTACCAGGAGGGGAAGTCATCTGTCTTCACAGGAGGAGGGGGTCATCTATGATTAGCTGAAGTGGGGGGCTTTTGAAGGAGGGGTCATCTGTCAATACCAAGAGGAGGCAGGAGGGCATGTGTCATTACCATGAAGGGGTGTTACTTTTCCCGAATATCCTGCACCCCCATATCACTGCAGCCTGGCCATGAGATCAATAACTTGGTGATGTTTAACATATAAAAGAGGTCTTTTTTTTTTTTTAAAGAAAAGTGTGATATCTACAGTGGCACTCTCTGATTAGCCCCCCACCCAGCCCAGTACAGTACCCCCCTCCTGTCCCTGTTCAGTCCTGCATGTGCACACAAGGTGGGGGCAGGCAGGCCAAACTGTGAGGTGCAGGGTGAAAGTGGTGGGCTTGTATGTGGATCTGGAAGTCAGAGAGCCTGCTGAGTTTCCTCTTTTACATACAAACCTAACACTTTCAGCCGGCAGCTCAAAGTGTGACTTGCCTGCCCCCACTTTGTGTGCACAACCAGAGGGCAGCAGGAGAGAGAAGAGAGACGGCTATCATATTTTGGCACACAGTGGGAGAATCTTGGTGCACGGTGGAAGGTAGTGGGAGCCCCAGATCAACTTTTACATCGGGGCCCACAAGCTTTTCCTCTACAAGGGTTTCTTGTTTTCCTTTTAGCTGCAATTGAATGTTTTCCATTTTCTACATCTTCTCTGTATCCGCTCTATAATCTTCTTTGAATTGCAGGTCAAGATGTCCTTTTGGGCTGAATTTGCAGAACTTCCTATGTAGGGATATTCTTATTCAGTTAGATGACATGGCCTGACTGCCAACATCAAAGTAGCCAAACAACTGATAAATCTCCCAGCAGTTCTATTGTACCACCTTTTCTTTCAGATGTTCCACATTACATTTTTCAGAAAACTTTCCACTCATAAGTCAAAAACAGGGGAGACTTTATTTTTTAAGAATACCTTTTTGTTTTTACATTCCTTTTTGAATATCTCCAATAGATTCATGAACCTGACCATCTATAGGTCTTTAAGATAAGCTTCCTAAACACTATATCCTTTCACTAAAGGTGGTCCAGTTTCCTATGTCTTATCTAAACTTTTAGCTCTACAGTTTTCATACTATATATTTCAGAAGAGAAATTCCTTAAATCTTTGAAGAAAGGAATATTGCATTCCTTTGTCTGTAGATAATTATTCAGCTAAATGATATTGATGAGAAAGGGTGAAGAAACAGACACAGGAATATATGAGGTTACTATAGAAACTGGATTCTTACCTATTTATCTTATCTGCTTCCTCTTATCTAATAGAGGTTTTCTTAATATTCTACACTTCTGCTCTGTAGATCATGATGTCTCAGAAAGATGGAGTTGCTGAGATTTGCAAGTCATGTTTATCTACAAAATATATTGAGAAAGTAGTAGTAAATATGTACTTCTGCTTTAGAACACAGTATATTGTTATGCATTAAAGGTTCAGCCTAGCCAAACTGATAGCTCAACCATGGATAAATGTCTGCCGATGAAATCTCCCACCAGCTTCTAACACTTTATTTAGAAACTATTTGCTATGTCAAAAGGATTTGCAATTCTACTGTGTTTATCCAGTTGTGTAACCCAGGCACCCCTGCCAGGCAACATAATAACTATAATGTACCAACTGGGCTTATTGTTGAACCCTAATAAACAAGCAATTGCTGGACACCACTAAAAATTCAATTTAAACCATTAATCTGATTGCAACCAAGCAAGATAGTGCCAAGGCCTAGACATCATATACATTCACAGAGATAAAGACTTAAATAAGTTGGATGATGATCAATGAAAAGTTAAAATTAAGAGATACAATGACTACATTTGAAAAATGTGGATGCTTTGGGCAAACTACTACTTATTTACTATGACCAGTATCTCCTTATAATGTGAGCAAGGTGGGACAGCCTAGAGTGACAATTTGATGGTCAGAAAAAGCTCATATATGCTGATACACCACACACTACCCTGACTGCTCCCCTCTTCCCCCTATTCTCTTTCCCTACTCACCCAAATCTAAATTCTTTTCTTTCTACCCCCTTACTATCTATTTGTTCTAAAAGGTAAAAAAAACAAAAAACTGTTAAATATTTACTGTTGTAAGTACCATGCCTACTAAGGGATCTCTTCTTTTACTATATGTATATTAGTAATACAAATATATATTTAATAAATAACAAAGACTTCCCAAAGCACTATATGGTTAATTAACTGAAACCAAAGCACTTAGAATCTGGTGCAGCTGTACATGGTAGCCAATCAACTTCTAACTTCAGCTTGTTCAATTAAGCTTTGACATAAAATACCTGGAAGCTGATTGGTTTCTATGCAGAGCTGCGCCAGATTTTGCACTCTCCAATTTTGGTAAATCAACTCCTATGTGTATGCCAGCAGAACGGTGGCAGCTTGCCTCATTTGTGTGGTCTTTAAATTAAACTTCACAGTGAGTTGTCTGCTAAGGGATGAGTGCCTGTCATGAATCCTTCAATTCTATGTGCAAATTGCAGTTTTGAGCTACGGAGCACTGTAAACAAAAGAGCTCATCTTAGGAGCCCCAAAGTACTAATATGAAATATTTTATATTAACCTAGAAAAAAGTTTTTTGTTTTGTATGTAAAACCAAAACATTTTTGTGGTTTTGAATAGAATGTGTAAGTAATATAATCTTTATTGACCTTTTGCCACTGTCTATTGCAGAGATTTTTCCCTCACCCTTGGTGCTACATTTTTCCAGACAAGAAGTTGGTCGTAATTTTACAATGGAACCACAGACAGCTTTTTATTCAAAGATTAGGGAACGGCTAAAACCTTTGTCAGTTTGTTTCTCCTTTGCAGAATTTCCCTTACTTCCTGTCTAGCAAAACCATTCTCACTGTGACAGTAAGTTAGAATAAATGTTTTTATTTTACAGTTGTCTATTGAGGTATAAACCAAGGAAACATTGGTGACAATAAAGTAAATTAGTCTGACACTGATATGTACAGATGGTAAACAGCATACAGAAGTAGCAAAAAGGTTCGCAATGATAACAGTTGAAACAGTTCAAGGTGTATTGAATGATGGCTCCTTTATAAGTTCAACAGCATGAAGCTGAAAATCTAAGCATGGGACATGCAGTATAAAAAACCAGGAAGCACCACTAAACTTAAAAAAATATAAAAATAAATGTCATATTTACACATTTTAAAATTATAATAAACAAACACAAAGTGAAATAAATAATATATATATATATATATATATATATGGGCAAGGATGGGAACTGAAAAGACTGAGAGACAATATATGATTTTGACTGCTTGCTTTCTGCCAAACCACAATATAGGGAAATGCTTCCAAAAGTTTTGTAGGGAGTCCTACTATCAAAGTTGGGTTGGTAGAGAGATGCATAGAAAAGTGTTAAGGTGATACCAAAGCAGGGCAGAGTACTTAACCATTGACACTAGGAGCTTTGTGTAGTTGCAAGTACCTATAGCAGTAAAGTGACGGTCAGAGCTTTTAAATTATTTAGACTTGCATGCAGTCCCAAGAGCACAGATAATTCATCCAGTTGCAAGAAAAGATTAAGGAGGGT